TCCTTAGTTACATATCATATAAAAACGTATGCTGGGGCTTCCCTGGTGGCGCAGTGGTTGAGAGTCCGCCTGCCAATGCAGGGAACGCGGGTTTGTGCCCCGGTGCGAGAAGATCCCACATGCCACGGAGCGGCTAGGCCCGTGAGCCATGGCCACTGAGCCTGCGCGTCCGGAGCCTGTGCTCCGCAACGGGAGAGGCCACAACAGTGAGAGGCCTGCGCACCGCGAAACAAAAACAAAAACAAAAACGTATGCCGATATGCACTAGGATATACGTACAAGGATGAGAAACCTTGTTGGTAATAGTTCCCAGCTGGAAACAACCCAAATACCCATGGAGAGTAGAAAAAAATAAACAAATTATGAGCCAAGACATGGAAGCAACCTAAATGTCCATCGACAGATTAATGGATAAAGAAGATGTGTTTTATACATATACACACACACACACACACACACACACACACACACACACTGGAATATTGCTCAGCCATAAAAGAAGAATGAAATAATGCCATTTGCAGCAACATGTATGGACCTAGAGATTATCATACTATATCAGACAGAGATGAATACCATATGATATTACTTATTTGTGGAATCTTAAAAATGATACAAATGAACTTATTTACAAAACAGAAAGAGACTCACAGACATGGAAGACAAACGTATGGTTACCAAAGGGGAAAGGGGGGAGGGATAAATTGGGAATTTGGGATTAACAGATACACACTTCTATATGTAAAATAGATAAACAACAAGACCTACTGTATAGTAGAAGGAACTATATTCAGTGTCTTGTAATAACCTATAATGGAAAAGAATCTGAAAAAGAATATATATAAACATATATAGATATAGATATAAAACTGAATCACTTTGCTGTACACCTAAATCATTGTAAATCAACTATACTTCAATAAAAAAACAAAAAACAAATCATGGATAGAATATAACGGAATACTATATAGCAATGAATCGAGAATGGACTATACATGCAACAACATGGATGAATCATAAGGCATAATAATGAGCAAAAGAAGTCAAATACCATAGAATACAGACTGTATGATTCTATTTATATAAAGTTCAAAACCACGCAAAATTAAACCATATTGTTGAAGGATGCATAATCAGATAACAACACTTAAAGAAAAGCAAGGAAATGAATAACACAGAAGTCAGAATAGTGGTTATGCTGGCAGGGAGGGAGGGGATATGATCTGACAAAGGACACACCAGGGAGTGGGCTTCTGAAGTGCTAGTAGTGTTTGTTTTACAATAATGTATGTGTCACACTGTATTCATGTTTTTAGCACTTTTCTGTATGCTTGTTGTATTTCACACATATGCATGTTTTTAAAAACAACAGCAACAAATAAATAAATAAAAATAAAAACAACAACAAAGGACAGCCACCTGGGCTTTGGAAACAAACAAGGAAGCTACTTAGTAGCTGTTCGACTTTGGACACATTACTGAAGGGGCAAGATGATATAAGACCCGGCTTAGAGAAGATATGAATCAAAAAATGTGAATCTCCCTTTAAGAAAGGAATTAGTTTTTTTTTTTTTTTTTTTTTTAAGGAATTAGTTTTTAATTGAAGGGAAACTGAAAAAATAATACTGGAATCTAAAAGACCTTTATATATGCAGGTGTTGTGCTGTAAAATGTTCTAATCTGTGTTGTTAATGAAGCTGGATTTACAACCTAATAAACTAAACAAAGAGTTTATGTTTAGTTGATTAACCAGTCGAGGCTAAAATCTATTCTACTTAAGTGACAGTTTTTTTCACTTTTCTTCTATCCAATGTAAAAAGATACTGGCTCTCTTACTGTGAAATTGCTTTATTACAAGACTCTGTTTACCCATTTGAAACGCTAACTTCTATCTTTGTGAAATTTGCTCTATACAATTGGGAGAAGTCCTAATGATGGTAATAATAGCTTACACGAAGGGTTCAAATTAGGAACAAAGCGATTCTTTTTTTTTTTTTTTTTTTTTGTGGTACGCGGGCCTCTCACTGTTGTGGCCTCTCCCGTTGCGGAGCACAGGCTCCGGACGTGCAGGCTCAGCGGCCATGGCTCACGGGCCCAGCCGCTCCGCGGCATGTGGGATCTTCCCAGACCGGGGCACGAATCTATGTCCCCTGCATTGGCAGGCGGACTCTCAACCACTGCGCCACCAGGGAAGCCCTCAAATTAGGAACAAAGCAATTCTTTAGGCAGTTTGTAGTTACTAAAACATTTTGACACAACACTATCATCCTTTGAAGACTTCCTTATTTTGTGATACAAGAAGATATTCCAGGGTCATCTTGAATTTTCCCTGCTTGAGCCCTGGAGTCTTAGCCAATTTTCCAGGGCGCCCTGGGTCCTTTAAGTAGAGAATGGTATTTAGAAGCCAAGATCTAGGTTTGCTTATTGCTACTGGTATGTTATTGCTTTTAGGCCCTCTCCACAGACAGGATTGGGAAACACACGCACACACACACACACACACACACACACACACACTTTTATATGTATCTCTATTACATTAAATACCATGAGTTCATACTGATACACTCAATTCCAATCCAACAGCAAAGAATTCTTTCAAGCTTTTTCCCTTTCCATGTTTGTAACTCCCTTCTCCAGCATTGAGAAATCTATTTTTAATCATTTTGAATGTAACTAAGTTTACAGTGAGTGTCTTGCTTTTTTTTTAAATTGCTGTTTAAAAAAATATTTTTCCCACTTGTATTGGTCTTTGCTCTCTAAGAACTATAAAAACTCCAGAGTTTTCATTTATTTATTCATTCAATCAACATATTTATCAAGCAAACACTATGTGTCAGATAATGTTCTAGGGGTGGGGCTACAGCAGTGAATAAAGCATCGTATTGGGAAAGGAACCATGGAAAGAGAGAATAATAGATACAAACTAGGAAGAAGCTGGGATCTGAACGCAGACAGCCTGGCTCCAGAATTCATGCTATACCATCTGCCTCTGATTGCTCTCGTAATTTGCTCTCTGCCTTCTACAAAAATTCACAACTCTCTTGAATCCAATAAAAATGCCTCTGTCAGTTTCTAAATCTACACAATGCAGAGCCTTGTGCATCTTCCACATTACTTAACATCTCTGAGACTCAGTTTCCAAATCTGCGAAAATGAAGATCCTAATCTCAACTTGCTGTGAGGATAAATTAAAGTACATGAGATGCCTGGTGGTATTTGTGACACATCATTTGTATTTAGTGAAGTTAATTTTCCTTCTCTTTTTCAACATAAATGCTACACTATAAAGTTCCCCCAGAACAGAGACTTTTTTTTCCTCTAACTCAACTGATCAGTCCATCATTTATATATTCATTCTTACATCCATTCGAAAAGGAGTTATTGAAAATCCAATATATACTAGGCTCGCTCCTGGTCATCAGGATATAGAAATGGCACAGCCCCCATTCTCAAGGAGCTCACAGTCACATCCAAGAGACACACAAACAATTACAATATAGTCTGATATGTAGTTCAGATGCGAGCTGGATGAAGGATGGTCATGTCATGGAAGAAGGCTTCCTGAAGGAAGTGGCTCTGTCATAGCAAGGACTAGAACAGTGGTTCTGCTGTTAAAGATGTCAAGAATAAATAAGTATATGGGTAAATGAATTCAATTCAGTTCATATATTTCATAGAAGATCCTACTGTCCAAGGCCTTGTGCTCTGAACTGGGAGTGTGCAGATGAAGAAGGGGCAGCTCAGGCCTTTAATGAACTTCTAGTTTTACTGGCAGATACAAACATCTGTAAAGAGATGTTTCAATACAATGTAGAGAATCCTGTGGGGTAGGTGAGCTCCTGCGACAGTAAGAAGATGGAGGGAGGCTCCATGCTCTATTAGTGGATGGATGAAAGGGGGCTCTAAGTTCTATTAGTGCAGGTTTCCTAGAATGAATTGTTGCAGCTTGAATATAACCAGTAGATGAATAGGAGTCATTGACAGCTTCTAATCAGAGGAATAATAGAGTCAAAACTGTATTTGTTGGTAGGATGGAGGATGGAAACGGGAAGGGAAAACTAAAGGACACCAGCAAAGAGGCTCAATTATGAATAGGAAGCTTGATCTGGAGATAGAATTTGGCACTGTTTGCAATTACTCAGGGAGAGTATGTAAAGAGGATTGATGGAACCCAGCAAACCAAGACTCTTAACTAGCTGCAGAGAAAAACAGCCCTGGATGGACCCCGTAAGGAGAAGAGTCAGAAGAGGATAATTAGGAAAGACTGGTGTCCTGGGAGTCAAATGAATAAAAGAGAAGGCGGAGACAAGAAGGATCAGGAAAGAGACAGCAGTTGTGTCCAATGCTGTACAGAGATCAAAAAGCGTCCACTTTATTTGGCAATAGGTGACTTTTTAAAAAAATATTTATTTACTTATTTAGGCTGCGCCGGGTCTTAGTTGCTGCACGCGGGATCTTCCTTGCTGCATGAGGGATCTTTCCTTTTTAGTTGTTGCAGGAGGACACTTAGTTGCGGCATGCACGTGGGATCTAGCTCCCCGGCCACGGATCGAACTCCGCCCCCTGCAATGGAAGCGCGTCGTCTTACTCACTGGACCACCAGGGAAGTCCCCGCAATAGTTGACGTTTGCCAGAGCAATTTCTGTGTTGGTGGTGAAGGCGGGAGTTCCACTGCAATAAATGAGTGAACGAGGGAGGAGAAAAAGCCAAGATGAGTAAATGAATGAATAGATCCAGCGCTGTGCCCTCACTTGCCCTGGGAATTTCCAAGGCCAACGTCGGGAGTTGGTGTTGTGGAAGGACCTTCCAGACAGGGCTCTGGATGCCGCCTAGGAAACCTGTCTGCCTCGCAACCCTTAGGCGCGGCTCCAAGGTCAGGGTCACCTCTGGCCTCCAGGCAACCCGTCACCTTGACGACCAACTGAAAAAAACCGGAAAGTACGGAAGCTGTCAGATCATCTCGCGATATCTGGCGGGCCGTCGTCGGCCTTCCGGGCCTGGGAACGGAGGCGGCTCTCGCGATAGTTGCCTGGGGTTTGAGCGCGGGGCCCGACGGTCCGGAAAGCTGGAACTGCGGGTGGGGAACATGTCGGATTCGGAGCTCGGCAGGAAGTGGGACCGGTGCTTGGCGGATGCCGTCGTGAAGATAGGTAAGGGGATCCTCGTCTCCGGCAGGCCCCAGCCGGAGCCGATAAGTTGGCTCAAGGCTCCGCTGACCCGGAGGGCGGAGGAGAAGCCCCGGGAGAGGTCAGGCCGTTTGGCCTGTTCCATCCCCTCAGGCCAGGGAGAGCTGTCCGGGCCCGGGCAGGAGGTCACTACGGCGGCTGGGGACGCGGACTCCAGGAGCCTGGGCGGCTGCCCGAGGAGGGAGGGGTGGAGAGGCAGCCCCGAGGAGGTGGGGGTCGGGTTGGCAGGTGGCAGGAGAGTTGGGGAGCTCTGCGAGTTGAAGCAGTATGCAGGGCGCAACCTTGGGCTGGAGGCTGGAAATTCTCCTCCCTCGTGTCACATCTCTCGCACGGGGCGTGCAGCTTGGCCTGGAGGCCACCTTCCTCCTCTGCTGAATCAAAAGTGCCCTCTAAGAAGGTCATCGGGAGCATTTTATAGATACTGTCAGGCTTTAACGTGAGTTGTTGTCATTCCCGAATTGTAACCTGGTTTATAGGCATCAGAGTAGTCTGGGGCCTGAAATCCGAGACATAGTGATGGTGATCTGGAAGTAGAATTGCCTTGGAAAGTAAGATAGTGATTGGTAACTTTTCAGCCCTTAGTGTAAGTCGGTGTAGCCTTTTAACACGTGCTCCGGGACGACACAAAAATTATGAAGTCACTGCTTGGAGGGGAGAGGGAAAGAGGGAAACTCACTAAGTGCCAGACTCTGTGCTTGGTGTGCAACTTAATACATTATTTAATACAAGTCATGAAATTGAGAGTCAAGTGAAGGGATTTGCCCAGGGCCTAATCAATGACAAAGTTGGGAATTTGACCCAGGTTTTCTGGCTTCAAGTACCATACTTTTCTTCAATACTAATTTTTATTATCTAATTTTGATATTTTTGTATGGAAATCTTAAAAAAGTATTTAAGAGGATTTAGGATTGTGCCCTTGAATGAAAATATTGGAAAGGAAATAAAATTGTAAGGTTCATGAGAGCAGGGATGTTTTCTGGTTCATTCAGTGCTGTAGCCTCAGCTCCCAGAAGAGTGCTTAATAAAAAATGTTGAGAATGAGTCAGTAAATGAAGTAATTTATCACAGCTACCCCTTCATCCTCGAATTCACCACTTACCGGCTGTGTGATTTCGGGCAAGTTATCTAACCTCTCTGCCTGCTTACTCATTTGTAAATTGGCAAGAATATTGCTATCTCACAGAGTTGTTTTGAGGATTAAATGAGTGAGTTTATGTAGCGGCTTCCTTAACTATGAAATGGGGATAAAGAGAGAGATTTACCTAAAAGGATTATGAAGACTGAAGGACAGAAAAGTACACAAGATACTTGCACAATCCCTGGCACTTACTATATATTCAGTAAATGGTGGTAGTAATAATTGTTAATATTGATACTGTGCCACTGCTGATCACCTGAGGCAGTAAGTAGTGTGTGTCGTTCATGAGTGGGACATTGGTGGGGCATACACAGGTGGAATAATTAAATGAAGCATGGTGATATATGATTACAGATAAAAACTAAAATAAGTTATTTAGACTTTTTGCTGTAGAGCTATTATTATAAATCAAGTAAATGGAGTGGTGGGTTGAGGGAAGTGGGCCTTTAGTAGAGCTTTGGATAGTCAGGGAGAGTGGAAGAACTTGAGCAGAGGCTGGTTGAACTTTCATGGAGGAGGAATTGAAGCACGGAGAGGTTAAGTGGCTAGGAGTGGAGGAGCTGGGGTTAGACCCAGGCATTCTAATTTCAGCACCCCCCTACTCCCTAAACAAGGCTGGTTTGAGTGGAGTCAGAATTGTGGATTACCTTAGAGAGATTCTACTTTACCTTGAAGGCTTTTGAGTTGGCTTTGGCTTTTTCACATGCATGCTGCATGTTCAACACCTTTGTCTTAAAAATCTATTACTTCCTGCTCCCAGGGATCAGTAAGTCGAGGCTAGTAGGGAATCATGAGATGGTTTTTTTTTTTAGATGTTGGGGGTAGGAGTTTATTAATTAATTAATTTATTTTTGCTGTGTTGGATCTTCGTTTCTGTGCGAGGGCTTTCTCTAGTTGTGGCAAGCGGGGGCCACTCTTCATAGCGGTGCGCGGGCCTCTCACTATCGCGGCCTCTCATTGCGGAGCAGAGGCTCCAGACGTGCAGTCTCAGTAGTGGTGGCTCACGGGCCTAGTTGCTCCGCGGCATGTGGGATCCTCCCAGACCAGGGCTCGAACCCGTGTCCCCTGCATTAGCAGGCAGATTCTCAGCCGCTGCGCCACCAGGGAAGCCCATGAGATGGTTTTAAGTAACAAATATGTACTGAGCTATGGGCCAGTCAGTGGGCAGATAGGGAAAGAGAAGGCATTTCAGTGCCCTCAACAGGGAACTTATGTGATGTAAATGGAATTTTGGTATGGTTGTCCTGGCAGTGTTTTATATAGAACAGATCAGGAGTAGAGGAGGCTAACAGTACTGTGAATGTGAAGTGATAAAAGTCTGAACTGTTAGACCAGAAAGGAATGGGTTTGAGAAACTTCAAACTTTATCCCTCATTTATAAAAAGGAGATAGTAATACCCACCTCCTGGGCTAGCACAGTGCCAAGTACATAGTAGGAACTCAATAAATGTATTTTCTTTATCTTCTCTCCAACTGGGTTAACTTTGCCTCATTTCATTTCTTATAAAGATGACTCCAAGGTTAGAACTTGGTTAAGTGGTGATGTCATTGATAGGAATTTGGAAGTAAAGCAGGAGGGGTGCATGTGCACCTCATTATACTAAGTTACATATAAGACTTAGTAACTGATCATGTGAGGTGGCAGGAGAGAGACTGTAGTGAGAAAAAGCTCATAATTTTGATTGTTTTTCTGCTTACATGGTTGAATCTGTTTGAGAATGATAATGAGGTTGAGAAGAAGTTTTTAATTTTGAGGGAGAAGCTGAGTTCAGATTTTGAGGGGGTTGTCTCTGAAGTAATGGACGTAGAGAAAGGGCATATGAGAAATGAAGCATGGAAGTGTAATTTTGTGGGACTTTCGTCTAAGAGGTATTTGAGACTATGGAATGAACACTTTTTTTTTTTTTTTTTTTGGCTGCCTTAGGTCTTAGTTGCGGCATGCAGGATCTTCTGTTGTAGCACGCGGGCTTCTCTCTAGTTGTGGCGCATGGGGTCTAGAGTCTGCGGGCTTAGTTGCCCCGTGGCATGTGGGATCTTAGTTACCCGACCAGGGATTGAACCTGCATCCCTTGCATTGGAAGGCAGATTCTAAACCACTGGATCACCAGGGAAGTCCCTGGAATGAACAGTCTTCTCTAGTGAGTGTGTTAGTTCCTATTCCTATAGGCAGTGAGGTTATAGAACTCTTTAGAAGTTATAGAACTCTTTAGAAGTTATAGAGGTTATAGAACTCTTTAGAAGCAAGCTTCTTTGGCTGCTTGCTTTTCTAGTACTTCAAAATGGAGATGGAGACTCAGGAACGGCAGCCTGCCATAATAAGATAGAGGTTTTGTAGAAGATGTAGGCAGGGAAGAAGGGCCAAGGCAAGCTTTCAGCTGCATATTGATAATTTCATATTCTCTGGCTTCAGAGAGACTGAAGGGAGGTCAAGGTGAATGGACAGCTCCCCTGGTGAGCATTTCTCTGTTTGGCACCTTATAATTAAGTGTTTTCATTCTTTTCCCACCGATTTGCTGAAAAATGACTATTTTAATTGCTCATGTTTAGCCTAGATATTGTACAGCTGAGTTAAAGAGCCCTCATAAGCATGTACTTTAGACACAAGTTGTTTTAAAAATTGTACTTCAGGGATTTACTCTGAAGCTTGAGTAATGTTCTCATATGATTTTGTCCTATAGGAAGAGCTACATTTATTTATAAATACCACCCCTCCTTTCCTATCATAGGGAAAGCAGTTCTATTTCTCCCATATTCTGGTTTAAAAATATCTATTTATTTGTGTGTAATAGGAGTATGTGGGATAGAAGATTTCTAATATGGTTTGACCTGGTGTATAGAGCTCACTGACTCAAAGAAACAAAACAAAACACACGCCTCCCTGTAATAGGCACAATAGGCCATTGTTTGTTTAAAATGTTTCTCTCTTCTTTCACTTCTTGTTCCTTTCTTTTCCTTTCTTCCCCTCAGATTTTTCCTTTCTCCCTAGTTCATCCATAAGGTTTGAGACTAACGTCTTTAAAAAATAATAATAACATTGTTAGCATTTACGAAGTTCCTAGGTGTCCTATTTATTCTCCATCACATCACTAAATTCTTTTAAAACTTTTTTTAAAAATTAATTTATTTTATTTTATTTTATTTCTGGCTGTGTTGGGTCTTCTTTGCTGTGCGTCGTCTTTCTCTAGCTGCAGCGAGCGGGGGCTACTCTTTGTTGCTGTGCCTGGGCTTCTTGTTGTGGTGGCTTCTCTTGTTGCGGAGCACAGGCTCTAGGCATGCGGGCTTCAGTAGTTGTGGCATGCGGGCTCAGTAGTTGTGGCTCACAGCCTCTAGAGCGCAGGCTCAGTAGTTGTGGTGTATGGGCTTAGTTGCTCTGTGGTATGTGGGACCTTCCCGGACCAGGGCTCGAACCTGTGTCCCCTGCACTGGCAGGCGTTTTTTTTGTTTTTTTTTTGTTTTTAACACCTTTATTGGAGTATAATTCCTTTACAGTGGTGTGTTAGTTCCTGCTGTATCACAAAGTGAATCAGCTATACATATACATATATCCCCATATCTCCTCCCTCTTGCATCTCCCTCCCACCCTCCTTATCCCACCCCTCTAGGTGGTCACAGAGCACCGAGCTCATCTCCCTGTGCTATGTGGCTGCTTCCCACTAGCTGTCTATTTTACATTTGGTAGTGTATATATGTCCATGCCACTCTCCCACTTCGTCCCAGCTTACCCTTCCCCCTCCCTGTGTCCTCAAGTCCATTCTCTACATCTGCATCTTTATTCCTATCCTGACCCTAGGTTCTTAGAACCATTTTTTTTTTTTAGATTCCATAT